TGTTTGGCTGCGCTCTGGGAGCTTTTTCTCAGCCAAAAAAGGCTTTACTGAGACTCAGTCTCGCAAGCAATTGCTAAACGTGGGGCAGATAAGGGAGGGATCTACAGTCCGTGAAACAGCAAGAGTGGGAAATTTTGCAATGAATGGTTAAAGCCTCTACTAACCATTGGTTTTCACAGAACAAATTTCACTTCCTTACGCTTAGATTTGCTTTTATTCATAGTTAGCTTTGCAGTGCAGTGTTGTTCGGTTCTCTTTACTGCTATCTACAGTTCTTGCTTCGAGCTCCTCAACTAGTAGCCTTGTTCGCCTTCTCTACCCGGCCCTCAAATCATGAGTGCAAAGCAACATCTGAGCTTCTCTCCATCTCTACTATAAAAGCAGTAAGCAATATTTCAGCCCTTTTCCTACCCTGGGTATCCGCAGCAAAAATCAGCAGCACATTTCCTCATCCTTCCCACTCATTCTTTCACCCCCCTCCCCAGTCCCTCTCCAAAGTACGGGACCTAGCCAACGACAGGGGGTCTACGCATGTAGCCGCCATTAAATTCACCTATCCAAACCCCTCCCCCCTCGCTTCTTACCTCGAACGAAACCCACAGCACATCACCCCTTCTCTCATCTGGCACATTCGAACTCCCGCCAATCACTGTGGAGCAATCCTACAAGGCATTGCCGAGGAAAATTTTTTGCAATTCGTGTATGATACCGAATGAGTCGAGCCGTGTTTTAGTAACTGCCTCGTTTTCCAATACTTGCTTTGAGGGGAGGGCATGCCACTCCTTACCCCTGGCTTTTTTCTTTGCTTTCTCCAAGTAGTCCATGGGTTGTCCTCCATTCTTTGGGCTATTTTCTAGGGCTGTGCAGCTATTCCATAACCCGAAGATTTTTTTCAGGCATTGCTTTAGGCTACTATTTTCAGTATCTACGTTAGAGGACCGGACAGCTGACCAGTATCCGCTACAAATATCTTCGAAGTGCCCTAAGTCGGGGCGTAAGTGCAAACCAGTGCTCATTTTAGGCATACAGTTTCTAATATGGGTGACAAACGTGCTGACAAAATTTCGGCCACTGTTTTCCGGCAAGTTTTCGAGTTAGCACCCACTTCCCTCATCGTCTACACTTTTTAAGCATTTATATGTAAAAGAAGGGCCACACAGCTTGACCACTGGGTAGCCTCATTTTCTAGAGTTTTCTCAACAACTACATGAAGAGGACCACATTCTATGTTCATAGCCAGATCCACGAAGAGGGTAGGGGGTGGGGGAGAGACGAAAAGCCTACCACCACAGGTACCAGTGCTGCAAAAGCCCGGGTCTGTTTATAATCCCTTTCCGAAAATCCAGGTTCTTAGTGTCGGCATCAACGCGCGTCACTGGTCTGCCACGGCGTCCTGCCCCAACTAACGCTATTAACTGGCCGTCTCGACACTGCTAGCGTCCCCCATTCGGCTAAATAGCTTGTGCGGTGCCTCGGCTCGTCTTTTTTTATTGAAGTGTAGCTTTTATCGGGGAATAAAGTGCTGGCACTG